CACGATGTGTGAAAAAATTAAGGCAAAATGTGTTCGTTCCCATGGCATTTGTAAGGCAGGCGTTTGAGGGTTGACATATACAAATTAAATTAACTCACCCAATTATGTCATACTAGTGTAATTTAATAGTCCGTTTTATTCTTGGTTTAAATATTGATAAGCTACATCCGATTTAGTAATAATTTAATAATTCGTAATGGCTTATCACATTTGTCAACGCCGTAGTTGGGAGTCATAAATGCAAACACGCGCCAATTTCGAACAAAAACCGCTGTGTGCTCAGATCAATGTGCGAAATGTACTTTCGAGTATATTCGCATTGGTTCGACTATAGCAAGAATTAACGCGTACAATGACTTGCTCTTTGGCCATCCGAAATCTGGTAGAAAGCACGAAGGAAGCGCAACCTTCCGATTGTTCTCCAGCGAAGTAGAAAAGGTATTAAATATCGCTGATCTTAAAGACCACGACAGCAAACAGCCATAATATGGATGGAGACGGCTCAGACCATGCATGCAGGAAACGACCTAGATTCTAACCAAGTCCAAAGCGTGTTCGAATGGAAAGACAAGAACAGCAGATTGTTATTCTCTCCGTGCGCGCCAAAATTACATCGCCGCGCGCGTCAACTAGCGCTCTCATTAAATCGAAGGAAATATCACCACAACAAAAGACGCGTCGCATTAAAACGAATGGCGAGCAATTCATCGGAAATTCCTGAATGTTGTTGCGTGTGCCTATCAGGAGAACCCCGAGGAGAACATCAACGAAATTATCGGCATCAGAAGGCGGTCGCCGGGTATATAATATTCTGATGTTGTGACTGGGGCAGCCGATGAGATATTTTCAAGACTCGAGGCATTAGACACGACTCTTTCGGAACAAAGCCAGTCAATTCTGCTTAAATCTATTAAAATGCCAGATTGGACCATGCATGCTTCTTCTGAAAGTCAGAATAAAAATTTCAGACGTAGGATGGCAGACACTACTTAGTTACGTAACTTGGACGCACTGGGGTATGTTGATATTTGATATCCTCTTTCATTTAATTAATACAAATACATAGTCGTTTGGTCAAGTACATTTCCAAAATAGACAAAAAATGTGTACAAAACACTCTCATGCATGGCCAATGATTTACGGATAATATTAAGCGCAAGTATGAATATAAGTGTAACTGCATGATAATTGTTTTACTGCATGGTAATATTTTACCTAAGGTGTGATAGATTTGCATACTGACGCATATATTTAAACGTGTTTATTAGACAGTTTATACACTATTGTTATTTGTTTGACTCATTCCGTGCTTTGATTACTGACCATCGGAGCCCAAAGGTTATGAATGTAACAATTTACTTTATTACATGTGATAATTCTTACAATCGTACCTTTACAAGCTGTTTACCCTGCCTGTGAGCATCACAACAGAAGTTGCAGGTTCAACCATACAAACCATACCACAAGACTCTACACTACATCCTTTCAATAATTACGTCACAAATTTCTCCTTGGCCCGGGAGCCTCGTTTTCATGAATCGTGAGCGAATTGTGTTTCTTCTTGATTCATGAAGCGAGGCTCCCAGACAGAGGAAATACTTGTGACGTAATTATCGAAAAGGTGTATTGAATTGTATAATGTCAATGTTATATAAAACATTAATCATTTGTAACACCACATACACCCTAGGAGGAATCGCATTCTAGAATGGAGTTCACTACATGGAGATACCAATATCATGACAGGTGGTATGATTATGATGGTATTTCTCTTGTGGAAATCATTGATGTTTCTGCACCTTAATTGACGGGTAGGATTTACAATTGCCTCTACTGTTTATTTCAATGAGTATGTAGAACCAATCATGTAGAATCACTAGATGCACTATTCTACCTTATTACTTCTTATCACCATGCAGTAATAATGCATGCTAATTGAAGAGGTATACTCTCACTTTTATTTCACAAAATCCTACAAAATAATGTTAGTATTCAAGACATAAAAAATACATTGCTGTTGTATAGTATAAAGATTATGAGAATTCTTTTAGTGGACGCTCTTGTGTCAGAAAGATGCAGTCATCTTTTGCTGACAGATTAAGAAGATGTATTCATCTTTGCTTAATCAGTTAAAGCTGAAAGTTGTATCATAATTATTACACAGCAACTTATATCTAAATGAAAAGTACAATAAATTCTATAATTGTATCATAAGCTACTATTCAAGGCATAAAAACTACATTGCTGTTGTACAGTATAAAGATTATGAGAATTCTTTTAGTGGACGCTCTTGTGTCAGAAAGATGCAGTCATCTTTTGCTGACAGATTAAGAAGATGTAGTCATCTTTGCTTAATCAGTTAAAGCTGAAAGTCGTATCATAATTATTACACAGCAACTTATATCTAAATGATAAGTACAATAAATTCTTTAATTTTATCATGAGCTACTATTCAAGACATAAAAAATACATGATTGCTGTTGTACAGTATAAAGATTATGAGAATTCTTTTAGTGGACACTCTTGTGTCAGAAAGATGCAGTCATCTTTTGCTGACAGATTAAGAAGATGTAGTCATCTTTGCTTAATCAGTTGAAGCTGAAAGTTGTATCATAATTATTACACAGCAACTTATATCTAAATGATAAACTTGTACAATAAATTCTATAATTTTATCATAAGCTACTATTCAAGACATAAAAAATACATTGCTGTTGTACAGTATAAAGATTATGAGAATTCTTTTAGTGGACACTCTTGTGTCAGAAAGATGCAGTCATCTTTTGCTGACAGATTAAGAAGATGTAGTCATCTTTGCTTAATCAGTTGAAGCTAAAAGTTGTATCATAATTATTACTCAGCAACTTATGTATATCTAAACAAAAAGTACAATAAATTCTGTACTTTTATCACAAGCTACTATTCTAGACATGAAAAATATATATTGTTGTTGTACAGTATAAAGATTATGAGAATTCTTTTAGTGGACATCACTCTTGTGTCAGAAAGATGCAGTCATCGTTTGCTGACAGATTAACCCATTGAATCGCATTGCACCCTGATGTGCCATACTTTATTATTTTACTCTGTCTAATGCCAAATGATTTTACTCGCCAAGGGGAGAGCATTGGTGCTTTAATGGGTTATAGATGTACAGTAGTCATCTTTGCTTAATCAGTTGAAAGCAATATTTATTACACAGCAACTTATATCTTACTGAAAACAATATTTATGTAAAAAGGATAATTTTAGAAACAATGTGGGGTACACTTATTTATTAAATACGGTAGTAATTACTATTTGCCATCAAATTATCTTGTCCTTATAAAATGTTGATTGTACAGCACCAATCACGGGGAAAGTTAACAATCCCATACAGTAAATCTCATCCTGAACAAGAATTAAACCCAATTTGCAAATACAGTCTGACTGATACAATACAGTGTATAAAATCCTATTGGCCATTTCTCTATCAAAGAGACAAAGACCACATGATATTTAATAATACTTGGTGTTTAATGCAGTAGTGTTTAATGTGTTTTATCAGGTTGATCGATCAATGATAAATCAATGCACTTGCAGGTATATTGAGAAGAATACTAATTAGGATGAAGTTGCTTGTACTGTAGATAGATAATTGAACAGAAAGTTATAAACCTTTTTTTCAGACCTAACCAAGAGCAGTTGCGAAAAATAAAACTATAGAACCTCCAGCAGGAATTGAACCTGCAGCCCTGCAATTCCAGTGTAGCGCTCTAACCAACTGAGCTACTGTACAGAGTACCGAGTCTAGATTGCCTCATTTTCACCATTTTGTCCTTGCCCGGTCACTAGGGAATGTGCAAGCTTTCACAGCGCTGGTCGGGGCCAATGTTCGGGGGAATCACACATTCCCGAAAATACTTGAAATCTTCAGCATTGCTCCGGCGTTCGGTTATTAATTAAATATGGTCAGTTGATTTGTCGTTGGTTTACGCTTGATATTTTGTGTGGCATGAAGCTCCATGACATTTCATCCAAATTGTTTTAGGGCAGGTCACATAATTTTTAAAACAGGTGTGGAACAGCGAATTATGTAACACAGTGAAAACATTTAATAAAAAGTTTCCAAAAACGAAATTTTGCAAGCATATACCATAAGGTGAAAACAATTTATATAAAATAATAAAATTATACAGAATGTTTCAGCCACAATGTTAGCTTCCTATATTGAATATAAGGGGCAAAAGGCCAGGGAAGTTCACCATACTTTTTTCCCCCAGTGACCAGGGAATTAATCAATGTTCACACACAAAGAGAGTGAATTCTCCCGGTGTCTCGAGGTGGGGGGGGGGGTCAGGGGGTTGATTTATACTATTATATAAATGAACAAATATAAAAGTATAAAATATCCATAAAAGCAATATATTAAAGACATCAGGAAAGCTGATATGTATTAATCAAATGTTTTAAAATTAATAAATTGCAGCACTGGCTCACTGGTCGTGTGATCTGAGCTTTTGAGTTAATAATATTAGAAATATAAACTTTTGAATCACCTTTTTTACATTTCGTTGGCAGGCAAATTCCGACTTTTGCATTTATTCTTTGCGACGATTTAGACGAACCCTTCAAGTTTCACAATGCTTAATCCCTTTACAGTAATATAGATATTTGAGATTCTTGCTTGAAACCACTTGAAACTCGTGGAAAAAACAATTTCAGATACAACAATACAACATATACATGTAAATTGTTTATTTATACCGAGCCACACTGCCACAGAGGAAGTAACTCTTTGACCGAGCCCGCGATTTTATTTGCAAACATTATAGAATACTTAGTGTTGATTTTATCATTTAATAGACTACATTATTGTGCATACTTGAACTTTAATATAATATTACTCAGCGTAACTCGCATTTCATAACATAAAAGCGCAGTTGAAACTTGTAACTACTTGTTGTCTTGTATAAGTCGGGCCAATAAATAACTTCCGCTTCTCTGGTCGCTCTTCCCTCTCCTTCAGAGACCACAAGAGATATGCGCGATGTCGGTGCTTGCTCACGTTCCGGATACGCGAGATTTGAGGCATTTGCTTTCGCCCTTGCAATTTTCTGCTTCATGGTCAATGGTGTAGAAGATGCGCTAGCGTTCACTTTCTCAAAATGGCGAAATGCAACATTGCTATCAAGCTTAATTTTTCCTTGAGCTTCTAGCACTTTCTTTAGGGCCATTAATGTGTGGACTCGGTAGGAAACCCTTTTCGTTCGCATACGATAAGGAACCGCACGATGACAATTGTATGAGACGCTGTGAGGAGATACGATCTCATCTGTTTGTTCCAGCAGCTCTGCAAGAAAATGTAGCACGTATTTTTCTGGAACACAGGGGTCTTCAATTTTCGTCCATCGTCCTTAAAAACAGTTATACATGCATGTTAATATTTACCCACATGTTAATTCTGTAGCGCCATAACCGTGTCTAAATATATACATTAATTGAAAACATTCGAATCTCTTCTTACCTGGAAGGGCAGGATGTAAGGCTTCGTTGACTCTCTCAGTCAAAGTTGTGAGCCATTCGTGATAATGTAAAAGGTTACTACACAAAATAACTGGCTTAGTGACGTCAACGATTTCCTCCTTCTCCCCTATAAAATCGACTGGGGAAATACGAAGCTGATGAGATGCCATCATATGTCGCCAAACTGCTTTTGACGATTTCCATGTTTTTGCACAACGGGGACATCTCACAGAACAGGAGAAGCGCTTGAAAGGCATTCTTACTATATATCTATTTCCGTATTTCGAAAATCTTACTATATATCTATTTCCGTATTTCGAAAATTTGGCAACTCATGTCGTGCAGGGCAATGGGCGTAGCTATATTATTATTCCTTGCTATTTCCTGTGTGTAACCTGACTTGCATTTGCATAATTGGCGATTCGTTATATAATTATGAAGTATCTATAACCGTCTTGAATCTTGATAAGTAAATATTTATGCATTATCCATTTTCTGATATCAATTATGTATTTAACGCAGTATTTTAGTGTCTGAGCCAGGGTTTTATAGCATGATTGCCCATTTCTCAGGAAATTAACAACAGGCGGAACTACTTATTGTTATTGCATGTCATTGTAATTGTAATTGTAATTGTAAACCACTGGCACTGTCCTAGTAGCTGTATGCATCTGTAGAATAGTTTCATATTTGATATCACTTTACCTGCCAGTCAAAGACTGCAGACTGGAAGTCGAAAGCTCGTGTTTTAAATAAATTTTGCGATCGGAGAACGTTTCAGAAACTTTATTATGAATCCTGGCTGTGCATCTAGCATTTATGCCTTAATTAGTCATGGGGGGTTATGGTTATCTGTCAATTAAGCTTGAGATTCAAGGATAGACAATATTACTTATCAGTATGGCAAAGCCAAAAGGCAAAAATCCTGATGATTTTGCATGGCGTTCGAATTCATTAAAAGAGAAGCGACAGATGAGAAAGAAAAGAAATGAGAAGAAAAAGCGCGAACGTATAGAAAAGAAAAGAAAATTAAAGGAAAAGGAAGCTCGAGCTACAGTAGAGCGTGCGCAAGGTGAGACCAAGAAGTATAAAAAGTTGGCTACAAATTATTTGGGACTCTGGAATCGCGCAACTCAACGAAAAGATGACAAGGTAAACTAGGAATGGAAAAGTAACTTTTCCCAGGCCTCTGTATGTCTTGTTTTGAGAGTGATATGATTAATTCAATAATTCATATTTCCTTACAGATTACAGCCAGTCAGTCACAAATGTTACCGAAGATTAAACGCGCCGATTTAACTAATGTCGATGAGAACGAAAATGAGTCGACAACCTGTTTCGGAAAAGGTGTATACGGAAAGTGTTATGTTAAAATGTATCAGGGGCATTTGGTCGTGGCAAAAGAATTTCGAGACAAGGTTACACCATCTGAGGTAATGAAAGAAGCGAATATGCTTGCTGCCTTGAATCATGCAGGATTACCGGTTGTTCTCGGGGTTGACATGACTCAAAACCCTCTGATGATGGTAACTCTATTTTACGGTTTGAATGGAAGTAACACAACGTTTCAACATGTACTAACAGTCGATGACCACTTTAACGCAGTAAAGAAGCTGGAATTTGTTGGACTTATCAGGCAGCTGTGTGAAGTATTAAAATACCTCCACGTGCACAAAATCCTACATAACGACATAAAGTGTGATAATGTCATGATTTATAGGGATAGAGAAGGTCTGAAATGCGTCCTAATCGACTTCGGAAAGGCATGTAAAATTGAAGAAGGAAAACACAAGAAATTAACAAATGAGCAGAAGAGAAAGTACCGAGAGAAGCATTCTCATATTGCTCCTGAAATTGTGGATGGAAAGTCACCGCAGACAACTTTAAGCGACATTTTCGCACTTGGCAGAATAATATTAAAAGTCGGAACTCGCTACAAATGCGACAAAATAGTTGCGCTAAGTAAGCTATGCACAAGCGAAAACCCAGCCAAAAGGTCTACATTATCGTTTCTAATAGAAGAATGTGATGTACTATACAAACAAATATTGGGTTGAACTTCGAAACCTAGCTGTCTATTATATATAGATTAATTCATTCAGTAGTGTGAGTACAACTACATAATGTTGCTGTTGTGTTGTATAATCTACCGGCTGAAAAAATACAAGGAAAATTTCGAGCTTTCAAGCAAAGAAACTCAAAACGCGGGTCGAATTTTTTCTTGTATTTTTCAGGAAGACTACTCCAACACAACAGCAGCCTATTAAATTCATATTATAGAATATATGTTGTCCGATAAGCGGCCGAATATTGCATGCCTTTAACATCAGTGATATTGAATATTGATATACGCTGCGTTGTACGTTTATATATATATGTAGACATTTTCCTCATGTTATTTGTTTTCGTATATAAATTATAATTGTATGTTCAACTGAGAAACGCCGAAAATCAGACAAATCATAAATTGTCCATGCATCAGTATTCACTGTGTCTTAATTGTCTCATGACTTCATACCCTTGACTCTGGTAGTCAGATCATACTCTGGACTTCACCAGTTTACCTTTTACTTTTTAGTCATGTGTACGGCAAAACTTTACCAAATGAATTTCTCATTACATTGACAAGACATTGTCCGGTACTCACTAGCTAATTTACAAGGCTCCTTGCCACGGAAAACTTGTAAATTTTCTGTCCTATACGCGAGCAAGTAAAAATTGTCAAGGAAAAGTAACGAGGGAAACTTGTTCGTCTATACGGGACTTTATTGTGTATAGGTCCTAGCCCTATTATAGGCTAGGTATTGACGCTAAGCAATAACACCACACGTGGCCTTGCTGGGATTTAATACTGAGATAGAATAATTATGTGTTGACAGGGTATAAAGACATTTGACTCCGTTTAAAATCGACATACAGTCCTGCTAATTCCGGACTGATATTATGTAATGCTTAACCGAGCATAACAAATTGCTTCCCGCAGTATGCATTTTTAATTAATAACTTGTTAATAATAGAATTTCAAATCAAGTACCTACCGTGAGTAATGAAACTAATAACCGATTGATGACAGTTTTTCCAATTATATTTAATTAAATAATGCGCTATGATTTCCGGACTTTTGCGTATTCAATCCGCAAAAGTTGCATTTTTTAGGCTGTGCGGGTCGTCATGAGAAGAGAGACTGCGTCTTAAACAGAGAAAGCAGCAGCTACAATTACAATTACAAACAGAAATTGCAAAGGCCGAAGCGGAAGAGAGAGTTTATGCTATGGCCGACTTGGGAGAAAATTTTCACCACTCACCAACGCGTCCACTTCAACTGCCACAACTTCCATCTGATGAATATCCACAGCCTTCACGCGTTAGTAACAACACACCCCAGTATCTCCAACAACAGATGAAGTCGACTGGGCAAAAATCAAGGTCTGCAGATGTCG